TGTTAAGAGTTGAAGGACATGGTGGAATTTTCTTTTAAATGATGAGGTAGTTCTGCCTTAGAGACAAAGAATGCATGAGATGAGATTTTGAAATCCTTCAACTACCGCATTTTTCAGACCGTAAGACGCACCTAGGTTTTAGAGGAGGAAAATAGGAAAAAAAATTTTTGAAGCAAAAATGAGGTAAAAGAATCACATAAATAACATAATATTTCACCAATGTAAATGTAAACAGAGCTCAACAGCAGCATTAACAACCATTATTCCCCCCAAATTTGGGGCGGGTGGCGGCGGAGAAAAATGTCTGTTTTATAGTCTGAAAAATACGGTATGTCTTTTGTGCTCTTTGAGGTCCACTTTAGGAAGCTAGATAAAGTGTAGCTTCTAACGTCTAAGTATGTTTGTCCACTACTTCTTTCTACCAATGTCTTTCTTTGTCCAAAGGAGAACATACATGCCCATGAAGTTACATTAATGAAATGTTTAACATTTTACAAGTAACAAACAGGACAAGCATCTTTCTAAAGTCTGAGATCCCTCACCACTGGGGTGGCAGTGTCTTCAGATTAAGGACCCTTAGGTTGGCAGTTAAAGCTCACATTGCGCCAGGCACTGTGCTGAGTGTTTTAAATCAATGAGTTTATTCAGGCCTCATAATCCTCTTGTGGGGTTGGCATTGTTTCTGCCATTTACAGATGGCTTCTGAGAAGTTCAACAACCTGTCCAAAGATACACACCTACGAGGTGAAGGAGGCAGTGAGGAGCCTGGGTTTGTATGACTCCAAAATCCACTCTTTCATTGAGTTCTGGTTCCCCATCTGCTGCATGTTTTCTGTTTCCATGCGGAAAGTCATCGAGAAGTTGGAGCCTCAGTTTTCTCAACTATTAATTGTAGAGTGGGAACACAGAGGCTGATAGAGTGTGATCTCTAGTATCCCTGTTCTGTTCAGAGATCAATGCTGGTAACAGCAGAGCTGTGCTTTCTTGAGATGATACAACTTTTAGTGAAGACTGGGCTTGCTGAATAAATACAGACAAGTCACACTCAGTGTCTGTGGACAACTGCACCCAGTTTGAAAAAAGAAAAGACTAATGCCTCACACATGACCCTTCAGGGTATTTGGGTTGGGCGTAGTTGCTAATTGGCGTGATAACTGGTGTGACTGTGGGTTAGTAATGCTGCACCTAATTGTGTGCAGTAATGGGTGGGCAGCCAGGGATCTTTTGAATGCCAGGAGCCAAGGTAGCAGGAAGACTTTCCTGCCCCTTAGGTTCTCAGTCCCTAAGCACATACCTTTGCACTCACTTTAATTGTTTCAGAATCATAGACTTTCGGGCTCCATCCACTCAAGCAGCTGTCTGGGCCACTGGGGTAGGGATGGACGAGGTAGGGCAAAAGGAAGTAGCTGCAGCCACTGTGCCAAACTTCTCCACAGTGCCCTCCAGCAGCAGAAGAGGCAACTTGCAAATGTTTTAGGCCCAGCTGAGGTATGGGGTACAGCTTAGCAATCTCCAAGACAGGAAAGAGAAAAACAATAGGAGAGGAAGACATTCTAGGCTAGCTGTATGATCACGAGGGGAAATAACCAGGCTTGTCTTTGCCACAAATGGTCACAGAGGAAAAGATCCTTGGAGGCTGTTTGGACCAATTTTCTTGTTTCCTGGGTCAGCATGTCACCATGAATTATGAGCCATATGTGGGTGCTGCTGCCCTCCAATACACAGCCCACTTAACTGAAACATCAAGTAGATAAATGCTGTTTTTCAAGAGGTAAAGGCACAATTCCTTCCATTTCCATTTCGTTTCTGTTCAATGTTTCAACCACAGAGTGGTGCTATTGCAAAAGGTAAGGGTGGGTAGAACACAGGCTCTAGAATTTTGCTTTAGGAGAGAGTTTGAAAAGGGGCTTTCGACACTGGATCTGGTTTCTGCTCTCACAAACCACTTTCAGGAGTCAGGGCCTCACATTCAGATGCAGCAGGGAGAAAACAAAGGTTCAGGAACCTACAGATACAGTCAACAGATGAAGGGCCAAGGCCATGAGACAACGGGGAGGGAGGTGATTACCTAGCTAATCAAAAAAGACCTCATTCTGGATGGACTGTCTGTGTGGGGTGAGCTCACCAGCTTACTTCCCAGTTCTGTTCTTTGCTTTAACTATCGGTGCCACTAAGTTCTTTCTCTATTTAGAAAATCAGATTGGCTCACAAGTCACAATGTTCCGCAGTTCCAAAAGGACTCCCTATTACATACAATAATCTTTTATCCTATCTTAAAAGAAAAAGAAACACCTTTCTACTCTTTTTTTCTGGCTACCTTGTTCTTGTTACCTTGCCACCCTCCTTGACGCTAAAAGGAAGACCTGGGTGGCCACCCCTAGTCGTCTTTAGAGGGGAGAAAAGAATCTTTTGCTCTGAAGGAGAAGGAGGAACAGTAAAGGGAAAAGGCATTGTGCCTGTTCAGGAGAGGTTGCCTGAAAAATGTCTTCCACAAAGGGAAGGGCTCGTGGCTGTGGCTGTGCATTTAGGAAAAAGTGAGAAAAGTGGCTCTTTCACCCTCTGCTTCTGCCGGGCTCTCTCACTCTCCCTTCCTCCTTCCCTCAGCCCCTCCTTCCCCCCCTGCACCCAAAGGCACCGCACATATTTGGCAAGATTAAGGTGTCACCTCTCGTGTTACAAGACGCGTCGATTGCACGCAAAGACAGACCCACCAGCTCAGGACAAAACCCTCTGCAGCTGGGAAACAATGCGAACTCTTCCTGTGACTGCCTAGGTCCTGGTGAAGTGAGGCGGCCAGTCAGTGACCGGCATCTGCAGAACAAATCCCGGTCTTAAACTCACTGCTGCCTTCTCTTCTTTTCCTTCTTCTGATTTTTCAAATTCAGGTTTGCCCCCTCCCTTCCCCTCCTCCCTCCAGACTGCCGTGGACCGAGAAGCTGCAGGCCGTGCAGCCCGCACATGTTTTTAACCCATTCTTCACTGAAGTGGGAGCCCACCACCTCTTTCTTTTCCATCTCCGGGTTACGGGGAGGACCTCGAGCCCCAGAAAAAGAGACCCTAGAACTCGGCCAGTGGAACTGACCCTGGGCCCCAAAGCTCCCCTTTGAGAGCTGAGGGTGGGAGGTGGGGGGCAAGGGCGGGAGGTGGAGGGAGGGCGAGGAGGCGGGCCAGAGCAGGGGAGAGAACCAGGACCTAACAGAGCACGCCCAGTCCAACCTTCATGTTGCCGAGTGCCCGGTGGAGGGAACAGCTCGGCACCCCAACCTGGCCCGGAGCAGGACCTGGACGTTTTGGCCCGAGGGAGGCACTGAAGGAGGACCCCATTCTTCGCAGGGACCGCGGGAGGTGGCGCCCCTGGGCCTCCGCGGGCGCTTCTGGCCGTTCCCGATGTGGCAGCCTCCATCAGCCAGGATAATGATGAGGCAGGTACAATCTATCTAGTACGAGCCCCCAGACTCCTCATCCTTTCCCTGCGCCCCGCACGCAGCCGCTCTCCACGGGGGGTTCGGCCTGATCTGGTAGGCAAAGCGCCGGTTCTTCTCGGCGTGTGGCCCAATTTCCAAACAAGTCAAAGAAATGTGGAGTTTTGGAACCTGGACCCTAGCTGAAGCAGAGAGAGGACTGTTTATGAGACACCTGGAAACGGCAGGGCGGGGAGGAGAGGGGGTACGTACTCACTTCCCTCCCCCAACGGCGCGCGGAGTCGAAAGGTCCCGGCAAGAGGTGGAGCGCGCAGCGGCCGAGATGGCTGCGAGAGCCGAGGGGTTCGGGGATGGGGTCCGCCAGGCCGCGACCCGCGGAGCGGGGTGGGAGGGAAGCGGCAGCGCACAAGTCCGCCCTGAGGCTCTGGGTTTCTCACTGACCCCTGCGTGATCCCCGCCCCAATCTCTTGACGGCGAGTGGGTGCAAGCAAAATGACTTCACCTGGTCAATTCAGCGAGAACGGTCAGAACACGTGGGGGTCTGACGGGCCGCTAAAATTATCTCGAAATAAGAGATTTTGTCCCCCCTCCATTCCGTTCTTCGAAAAACCCACCAGTGGGGAAGTGAGCGGCACGGCTTTCCGAGGTCTGCTCAGAAATCTGTTTGTTTCGCGCCTCTCTGCTTCCCGCACTGTCCCCGCGGGCAGACGGGCGGGCGCGGGGCGCGTGCTCAGCTGCAGGGCCCGAACCTCGCGCGGAGAAAGGGGCTTGGGAGAAGTTGGAGGCCGGGCGAAAAGGGAAGCTCCGGTCCGTCCCGCTCACGGTTCACAGGGCGCGCGCACACACCCGCACGCCCGCCCTCACCCCACCCCCCACGCCCAGCCCCTTCTCCCCCAACACCTCTCCGATTTGATATCCTCTTACCACCCCGCACGGCGGTCTCCGCACTGGTCCCCACGAGCAGGCAGCAAGTTCGCGGGAGAACGATCGTCCTTGGGCGTGTTCGTGGTGTGGGGTGGGGGGAGGAGTGGCGGGTGGGCTGGAGAGGGGGTGGGGAGAGATGTGGGGCTGGAAGGGTCTAAGGTTTGGAGGAGGAGTTTGCACACCAGACCCAATCCGCCCAGAGGAAAGGGGCGAGAAAGGCCCTTCTGCCTAATAAAGAAAAATCTCAAATAAAAAAGAAAAAAGGAAGATCCAAAAGAAAAGTTTAAGAAAAAGAACAAATAAGACAGGCTGGAGAGATGAACATGTAAAATGTATTAAAAAGTTGAATATTTCGTTTTTCCCTTGGATCTCTAAAAGGGACATCATGGGGGAACGTGGAGCAGACAACTCATCGGGAAGTTTTTTTGTGTTTTTCTTTTAAGCGGGGCCAGAAGGAATGGCCCAGTCCTCCCGCTGGCACCCGGACCGAGTCGGGGGGAGGAGGACGCTGGGCGCAGGCCCGCTAGGCGCGCGACCCGTCAGTCGCGGGGGCGGACGACGCGGCGCGCAAGGGGTTAAGGCGCTGAGCGCGGAGCCATCTGGCTGGGTTGGCTGGTTATAACCGCGCAGATTATGTTCACGGGACTCAGAGTTGAAGGCTCCGCTCCCTACCGAACAGCTCCGCGCGCGGCCCCGCGAGAGAGCCCGGAGCAACTACTTTTCTCCCTTTTCTTTTCTTCTTTTTTTTTTCCCCCCTGCTGGGTAGTGGCGGCGGTGGGCTGGGGGAGACTTTGAATGACCAAGTTTGCGTCCACCTTTCTCTTCATGTCGATGTCCCTGGAAACAGTCACACGGATGCCATGGTTACTTCTGCCACGGTAAGGGGAGGAGGGCACGTCGGGTGGGCAGGTTCGTGGCTTGGGGGCCTGGTGGGGTTTTTTAAAGTGGAGTAGCGCGGTGGCCCTAACTCCGCACCCGCCCCACCCCCATCGCGCTGCACTCACTTTCCCGGGCTTGTGCTTTCCCCGAAGTTTGTGCTGGGATCTGCCGCGGCCGAGGCGCTACCACAGCACCCCGCGCGCGCACACACACACACACACACACACGCGCACACACGCACACATGCACACATGCACACACACACACACACACTTCTCCCCACCTCCACTCCTTCGGCCCTCGGCGGCCCAAGAAACCGCCCGATATCTGGGAAAGTGATCAGTTTAGGAGACCTGGATTGGAAACGGAGGGCGGAGGCGAGGGGAAATGGGGGCGACGGAAGGGCAGGGAAGGGATTCAGCAGAACTGCCACCCCCTTCCCCAACACACGCGTGTGCTCCTGCAGAGAAGTCTCCCCGCGCATCCTGTAACAAAAGGGGGTGACCGACAGATCCCGGGCAGGGAAGAGGCGAGGTGCCACCGCCACTCCCCGGCACGCCCCCTGCGCCCAGTTCCTAGCGGCCCCGAGTTCTCCGAACTGCTAGGCTGCCCTGCTGGGGCGTGGGCTGGGGGAGGGCACTCGGAGCTCCGGACCTGGAGGGTCGCTGCCAAGTCAGGGGAGTTGAGACTCCTCACCCGGCGCGACGTACCTGCTCTGGAGTCCCTCTGCCTCTGCAGAAAGCTTTTTTCGGAAACGAGCCCGCACTCCGGACACGTCTTGGCCAGCGCCCACCCCGCGGCCACCCCACCCCGGGTCTCTGCGCAGATGTTGGAGCTCCGAGCGCGGCCAGAGCATCTGGGACCCGGCAGAGTAGCGGGGGTCATGGGGGGGGGCGGGGACCGGGCCATCCCTGGGGAAATCCTCGCGGTCTCCCCGAACCAGCTCTAGGAATTTGAGGCGGAGATGTGGGAAGGCTGGGACACCCGGGGACCCGCGGAGCTCAGTCGGAGTTGAAAGGACCCACAACGGCCCAACTGGATTCATTGCCCCAGAGCTCTGCTCATAATCGTTATGAAATTTAGGACGCTTGGGAGTTGAAAGTTTGGAGGAAGGGGGGCTGGGTGGGGGAGGGGACTCTGCTTGTTGCTTTAGGGGGCCAGTGGGTGCGCTGCTTCTTTGCGGGAGTTGAGCTGCTGCGTTCCTCAGCCGCGCTTCACAGGCGCGGAACTGAGAACCCTTTGCGGATTAGTGAGGATCCCTCTCGCTGGATCTGTGGCTCGGGGGATTCCAAGTGGAGGAAACACCGAACCTGAACCTGACCGCCTCTTCTCGACCTCTGGCGTCCGGCGGCGGCAGGTTCAGAGTCTGAGTGGAGGCAGCTGCCCAGACGCAACCGGAGGGCTGGACTCGGGGCTGGAGAGCTCGGAGACTGCGCGCCCGCGGACTTGTTTATGTGTGCGGAGAGCTGGGGGCGGGAGCTGGGTGGAGGCGGGGGCTAAAAGGGGGTGGGTGTCACTCCTGCAGTCTGATGTTTGCAGCTCAGACGATTGCAGAACGTGCTGGACGACCTGCTTTTTAATAAAGAGATACCCTCTCCCTCTCTGCAGACCAGAGAGCAGGGAAACCACCTAAGCTCCGTGCCCTGAATGTCAGGATGGGAGACGGTTGTAACACAGAGGGAACTTTTCAGTCCGTCCTGTTTTCACAGCACTCAGAAATCCACCAGCACACGCAGCCTGTCCCGCTTCAGCCCCCAGTCCCTTCCTGACATGTTGCACAAAGAAAGTCGAGCAGTAGAATTCAGGGGATAAAAATCCAGCAGCCTCTATTTGGGGCTCAAACACTGAGACCCAGGTTTGGGAGCGGGGTGAGATGAAAAGAAAATCAGGTTCTGTGGACAGTGTTGGAAAGACTGGGGCGGGTGGGTTGCATTAGGGGGTGTGTTGGTGAGGACTGCACTGGAGCTGGAGTTGGAAGATTTGGTTCTGTGTCATAGGGTCTGCTTTCCTGTGGAGGTTAGATCGGGATCCTTGGTGGCTCGGTTTGGTCAGGGAAGGAGGTTTTTGGGAAGTTGCCCGAGGTGGTGTTTGGGAGGTGGCCAGAGTGCAGGAGCCCCACCCTGTCCTGTGTTCGGTGGAGGTGTTTCTGAGGACTCTGCAAGAGGAGCATATGCGTGACTAGCAGGAGATGAGAGCATGTGGGAACATAGGTGTAGCTAATGAGAAATCTGTGCCTGCGAAGGGTGTCGGAGCAGGAGGAGAGAGGTACAGTGTGCTGAAGACAGATGGCGCGTGCATGCCTGCACAGACACACGGAGTGGGTGTGGCGTGGGAGGGCGGCTAGGCTGTGTGTGGGAGTGAAAGGTGGATGTGTGTGGAAGGTTGGGCGCCTGAGGATTACCAAGGGGACATGTGTGGAGGTGGGGAAAGATTATCTGAGAAGAGCAGAGTGTGAACTTTACGGGTGTGTGTTGCGGAGTTTGGCTGGGATGGCAGTGAGGTGTGTGGGAGGCAGAACGCGTGGGCTCAGACTCTCATTATTGGAGAGACTTGTCAGGGAAGGATGCCGGGTTGGTTTTTGCCTCCTCCCCCTCTCCATTTCCCCAGAGAGGAGGGAACTGGAGAAGCTTCGAGTGAGGGATGATGCACATTTAAGAGGAAAAGTCCTCTGTGTGTTGGCACTGAGTGGGGGTCAGGGAGGATGCATGCATAGGATTGGAGCCGGTGGAGGAATATATTTTGCATGGCTAGTAGCAGAGATGCAGGTAGTGTTATGTTGTATAGTAGATTTCTTACTTAGTAGAGGAATTCGCTGTCACCAATTGATATTGGCTATCAGTTCAAATTTATGGAATGCCTACTGGATGCTCAGCTCATTGCTGGGTACTGGGCCATGGCACAGTGCCCTGGAAACATTCCTTCTTGGAGCTCAGCTGACTGCTGCAATTTTGCCAGGAGGAATGAAGCGAGCTCGATGCTACTTGAGGTTTCTTCAAGAACTATAATTCAGTTTTTAAAGATGTTTATGGATCTTGGGGGTCAAAGGGGTGCTGACTTGAAATATAGCTGTGGTTTTGTAAAAAGAGGACATAAAGATAGGGATGATGTACAGTTTTGTGTGATGGGGACGGAGCTGAAGCATGTTACTGTTTTTTTAGGGGGTGTGAGCTGGAAACTGGGGCGGGGGGTGCCTCAGTGCAGGTCACAATGCAGGTCCCCATATATCTGAGGGGTGAGTTTTTGAGTGGGAAGCGCCCACTCACTGGCAGGATTAAAACTTGACATGTGGAGCTGCAGAAGGGTGCAGCACTGACCAGGGAAGATGTGGGTTGGGAGCGCTCGCTAATCTTGGTGTTTTCTGGGCTATGAGGGTAAAGCTAACCTGGTGTGTGTATGATTGTGTTCATGTGCCTGCACACACTATGAGGCTGGAGTTAAGTACCACGAGGTACTGGGAGAAAGCCACGAGGATAGGAGCAAAGTATATTCTGGCTCTGTGTGTGGCGGGGGCGGGGGGGGGAGGTAGGTTTATGTTTTTGTAGGTGTGTCTAAGGAAGAATGCTCAGATGTGCATCTTAGGTTTTTTTTTAAAAAAGGTGAAGATAAAAGAAGAGCTATAGGCTTTAGAGCCTCTGGGAAGTGAGGGGAACGTGAAGCAGGTTGGGTTCAGACCCTGAGAGAGCTGGTGAGGTGGCTGCACAGAACAGGGAGGGTGGTGTGCTTTGACTGCACGCACTTGCTGGTCTGGACCAGGTGATAGGGAACCTTGCTTGTTAAGTTCTAATCGTGTAAGGGCACATGTTTGGGGAGGACTTTATTTGACTCATGACCTTTTTGAATTTGTAAAATGACAGCTGTGCCATTTTGAGGTTCAGTTTTATTTTTCTGGGAACGCATCTATATGAGAGAGCATTAATATAGGGTTTGACCTTTGGTCAGATCTGGTGGCAGGTATTTCTGAGGGTGGTGTGGTGGGGGTGGAAGACTCGGCATTGGGAATGTCTTGGTTCCTGTCCCACTCTGCCACTATGGAGCAGTGTGACTTTGGGGAGGTTTTCTCATCTCTCTGATTCTCTGTTTTGTTTCTCCTTTTGCAAAAGGGCAATGTCGGTGGTGCCTCAGGGAGGAAAGTTCACTTTGCTTTTCTCCCAGTCAAAGGTTGGTGTGTTTAGGAGCCCAAAGCTTTACTCAGCCATGAAGTTTAATCGAATACAAGCGCCGGCATGTATATGAACCATTGTAAAAATAGGATCTGTGCCTCTTCCCCCTGACAGTGTGAGTTCGTAAAATGGTCTTAATGCCCTCTGCATGTCTACTGCTCACCCACCGAGTGAGTGGGACTCTTCTTAACTGCCTCAGCTTACTCATCCATTAAATGGAGGCAGCCAAACCTAGATTATAGTTGATGGAAATCTGTATTAATAAAAGGTTGTCGAGCTCTTTGGAAGGTGGCCCAAAAATCCATGTTATTTATTACCAGAAACAGACTGTTATCCTGTTCTTTAAACACCAACTGTGTAGACCATGACGCCACAATGAATGTGACTTTGAGAATGGAGAAAACAGTACTTGTCCTTGGCATATGGGAATAAAAGGGGAGCAAAGTCCAGCCATCCTGGATCATTATGAAGGACTGTTTTCCTCTAAACTGTGGGTCCTTGGCAGGCAAGAGCCTTCGGAGATGTGGGATGGCGTGCGCCCAGGGCAGCAAGTTGGTGCAGCCCCTCCCCCCAGAGACAGAAATGGAGGCAGAGGGGCACGCAACCCACTGAAGCCTCCGAGTCCTCCCAGAAGTCAGCACGTGCTGTCGGCTCCTGGCTCAGAGTCAGGCTCCCATCCTTGAGTTCAGTGGCCATAAATAGTCAGGAGCTAAGCTATTTCCATGAGGCACTAAACCAATTCTGTTGCTTTTCTTGGCGAGATTGGGCCAATTAAGTTGATTGGAAGAGGTCACTGCTGATGGGTCTCACATTCCCCAGGCGGGACAGGCCAGCAGAGT